GTTGATTTTCAGTTTTAACTCAAACATTTTGCTAGGTTTTGTCCTAATATTCTGAAGCAAAATGCAGACTATAAACAGGGCTATTTTGTGAATTTGTGATGAAAAAAGGGAACTGGTGGTGAAAAGGTTAAGTTTGCCTATCAATTGGTTTTAATCCTACCAATTACAATTGATGTCTTTTCTTTTCTTTTCAGAAACCTTTTCGACCTGCCAAATATTTCTCAATTGATCGGGTTTTCCGAAACGAAACATTAGACGCCACACATTTAGCAGAGTTTCATCAAATAGAAGGAGTGGTGGTGGACTACGGATTGGCATTGGGTGACCTCATCGGCATTATCCATGCTTTCTTTAAAAAATTAGGTACAATATATACAAAACTATGCAAGTCACTTTTCAAAAACTAAAACCAGTATCATGTTTTCAACTTGCGTGTGAATGTGTGTGTATGTGTAAATATCAATTTTCTACTATTATCCTATTGGTTTAAATGACAGAGGCATGTCCATGGTTTGCCTGACATGTAGGCGTGAGTAGGCCCTTGCCGGCCAAACTGCAGATCTCACTAACGCCTAACAGAATAGTGTATTTTTCGTCGCCACGCTCAATACTGCAAATTCGCAATGTTCACTCCTTCTTGCAATGAGTTCAATGAATATTCATTTTGGTAGTCATGGTAACACAGTGGTAACATTAGGTGGAAATTTGCCAACACCTTATCGCAAAATTATGTCAACAAATAAACTCTGCCGTGAATGGTTACTCTTTGATGGCTGTCACTATCTGACGTTCCTGCAATTTGATTGGTACCGACAAAAAATCATCAAGGAAAGTGAAAAACAAACGTGTGTTAAGCTTAGAGCACTGCGTAGGGCGCAGCTCATGCTACCTTGTCAGGCTAGTCCATCCATGGTCAAAGTATTACATCTTTTATGTAATTACAAATGTTTTAGAAAATTGCAGAAATGTGTGTACAATATTTCATATAAATGTAGATGGGAAAAATCATAGTGTTATTAACCTTATCCTGTATATCATTTATAGGTATCACAAAAATTCGCTTCAAACCAGCATATAATCCTTACACGGAACCTAGTATGGAAATATTTAGTTATCACGAAGGCTTACAGAAATGGGTAGAAGTAGGAAATTCTGGTGTATTCAGACCGGAAATGTTACTACCAATGGGACTACCGGAAGATGTGTCTGTTATAGCATGGGGGTTATCTTTAGAAAGGTGAATAGTGTATTCTTAAGCCTGGTCATATCATCAGCACTTTCTAAGCTGTGGTTTACCCAAAGATTAAACATGGCTTCAAGCAATCTCAGCTTGTTCTGTACTCCTGCTCAGATGGTCTATCATTCTTTTCTAGAATTTCCACTTGATGATAACCACCAGGTGCTATAAAGAAATTAGGGTTTCAT